GGCTCCACTGCAGTCCTCCCCCTTACTATACTTTTGGAGCTCACCAAACCCCCCAGGGTCTGAGAGACGAACGCTTTGGGCTTTCACCCTCTCAGACTCGAACTCGGACTCGGTCTCGGACTCGGACTCGGACTTGGACTTGGACTCGGCCTCGGTCTCAGTCTCGGTCCCGATCTCGGTCTCGGTCTCGGTCCTGGTCTCGGTCTCGGTGTCGCGAATGTGACTTCGGGTATCGAAAGATACTTGTCGACCGGTCCTTACGGACACTCTTTCCTTACTGTCATGACGGCAGGAGATCGGTACAGTTGGATCCCTTTAGTAGCCCCTCTTGTGCTAGTGGAGTTAACTGGGCATTTCGAGTGTACTTAGACCGGACGAGCATAAGGACGGAATTCCTACGTGCTATTAGCTAAGCATACTTAGCCCGGTAAGGAGTTCCCGTCTCGTTATGTCTTGCACTGGCTAGTGACAAGAACCCTCGCGTATTGAGACTAGTCCCTCAATATCGCTGGATGATAGCTTACCGTGTCTGCCAAACACCCTCGCTATCACACCCTTTGTGTTGGTCTCGTTTTGGTCCCAAATACTAATTATGGAAAGTGTCTAGATTAGCTCATTTGGCATATCTACGGAATGTAGAGGTCGGCCTGAACACAATGGTGTTCGTCCCGTGTCCAAATTCGCAATCTAAGGACATTCCATATTTAGTAAGTTTCGAGCTTGTCCCAGAGACTAACTCCTGGTACTAAGGGAGGCTTGGGGTGAAAGCCCAAAGCGTGTGTTCCTCAAGGGGGGGGGGGGGCTATGGGGGGTTCCAAATGTATAGTAGGGATAGTGGTTGGAATGCATGTCCGACCACCTGAGACATTAGTTTGGCTCCCGCTGGGCTGTGTCGCTCCTTGTTCTGCGTTCAGCTTGGGTCTAAGCCCAAGCTCCACGCTGCTCTAATCGGTGGAGTACCCTCCTCCTCGCGTTAGGCCACCGGTATGCCAAAATTGTGCCAGACTCCGTCTGACACCATTTTGCGTGCAGGTGCTGGATACGGGGAGCTAGTGCTCGTGGGATTGTACCGGACCCTCGTTTCGTAGCGCAACGGGCTTGGAGTTCGGCTCCAAATTCAGGTGCGCTACACTCGGTCTCGGTCTTGACTTCGGACTCCATCTCGGGTCCATCTCGGACTCCATCTCAGACTCCATCTCGGGTCCATCTCGGACTCCATCTCGGACTCCATCTCGGGTCCATCTCAGACTCCATCTCGGGTCCATCTCGGACTCCATCTCGGACTCCATTTCGGGTCCATCTCGGGTCCATCTCGGACTCCATCTCGGACTCCATCTCGGACTCCATTTCAGGTCCACCTCGGACTCCACCTTGGACTCCATCTCGGGTCCATCTCGGACTCCATCTCAGGTCCTTCTCGGACTCCACTTCAGACTCCATCTTGGGGTCCATCTCGGACTCCACTTCAAACTCCATCTCGGGGTCCTTCGCGGACTCCACTTCGGACTCCACTTCGGACTCCAACTCGGGTCCATCTCGGACTCCATCTCGGACTCTTCCACGTGTCATGTGTTGGTCCTTTTGGGTCCCTTTTTGGAGCCTCGCTTATTGCTCGCTTCATGCTCGTTCCTCGAGCACTTTGTTGGGAGTTCCACTCCCGCTCTCGACCTTTCAAGTCAAGGCTTTTAGTCCAAACGTGTTACGCTCGTTTGGTTTTCGCTTTGGCCACCACCACATAGCACCCTTCCGGCTCCACTTTGGGGCCTAGGGATTTTGTGTCTCACACGGGCATGGCTGACCAACCTGAGGCATAGTCTAGCTCTTGCTTGCGTGCTTGTCCTTGTTTTGCGTTTGGCTTGGGTCTAAGCCCAAGCTCCACACCATGCTAGCTGGTGGAGTACCCATGTCCTCGCGTTAGGCCATCAGTATGCCAAAATAGCGCTAGACTTCGTTTGGCTCCGTTTTGCATGCTGGTCCTGGCATTGGGATGCTAGTTACTCTAGGACTGTTCCAAGCCGCTCCGGGTTCCTATCCCTTCGCTCCTTGGGCTTTATGCTCCGAAGTTGCTCCATGGTTCAGTTCCATCACTCCTTGGCTCCACACTTGGGAGTTTGGCACTGTTCCTTCGTTCAGTGGCCCAAGGCCCTGAACCTTGGGTTCCGCACCACTGTCCTATGGGTTTAGGTTCCGCTTCGTGGTGTTATCCTATGGTAAACCACTATAGGATAAAGGGTAAAAACCACATGCGCTACAGAAAGCCACTCTCCAAATGTGCCACCAAAATTATATTGTCCTCTAAGTTGAGCATGTTTGGAATCTCAAAAACCTTACCTCTCTATTAGCAAGCATATAAGTTTTCCAGCAAAACCAATAGCTCCTAATCTTGTGGAAGACTAAACCCAACAAGCTAAGATGAAGTTGCAACCATGGCCACCAAATGGGACCACTATGAGCACACATCACTCATATTTACATTGCTGAGGGAGTTTATGGTTGTGGAGCATGATTTCTCTTTCCCCCTTGTACTAATTTTGCCTTTATAGGAAAATCTCTAAGTCATATGTACTTCACTATGTGGCTTTGCAAGCATCCAAGAATATATATTTTTATTTGCTTATAGATTTTTTTTAGCCATGACTTTTTCTTCAAACATTCTACAAGCCTCTGCCATGGTACACAACACTTTGGCACATCCACTAACAAGGTGCACAACATTCTTGACCAACAAAAGGTTGCCACAATAACAATTTTTACATGATTAGCTATATTGTTTTAGTAGCTTATTATCCTTTTCACAAACTCTTTAATATGGCCATTTGAACAACATATTGAATATTCAAATGTTTTATTTTTTATACGAGCAATGAAAGGCCAGGCCCTATCTCCACCTCACGGAGTAAATAAAATAACGTTAAAAGTAATGGTATTTCACTTGTGCCAAAGCTTTCATTCAGCATCACAAGTGAGTGCAGCCATCACCCATCAGTCACACACAGGGAGAAAACTTTGCCATGCTATTCAATGAATTTTATGGCCTAGTGAATTTTCTTCCTACCTTTATTTTGTAATCAAAAAACTTTTCCTTCTTTGTTCCTTGCCAAGTCCATTTTGTAGAATCTCATGCCAGCTCTTGGATCTTTTACTGCCTAAACTAATATAGCTTGGTGATATACCCCTCTATCATTGCTTGATCCATTTTGGAATCTTTTTCTTTTCATTTTTACTACCCGTATTGGTTCAACCGTTGTCATAGCAAGCCTTAAGCTCTCAATTGGTATTTAAATGGTAGTAGTTAACATGCTAGACCTATATAAAAGATACTGCACTTGGATTGCTTTTGTGTAGTTGTGTATATGACTTTCCTATTTACCATCCACACCTTGTTTCTTTGACATCTGTCATAGTTTCTTAGCAGTATTGTCAAAATTCAATAAAGACTAACTAGAACTCTTTTAAGCGATGAGTCAAAATTTCCTACCATAAAACACTCTTAACATATCCTGATTTTTGGTTGTTTCATCTGGTTTGATAAACAAATTTGCCTTTACATACATCTCTGAGAATAGTCATGTGAAAAATATGGTGCTAAATAGAGACACATATTTTGGGAATGTGAGAGTCCATAAGATGTGTGGAGAAGCACATGTTAGCTATTGCAATAATACTCCTAAAGACAAGTGAATCTTATATATAAAGCTACTTGAAAGTATTTATGATTAACATAGTAGAAAAGACTCCCATTGGATTCTTTGGTACAATTTAGGGAGAAGTGGCTAATAGGATGAGAAACTAAACAAATTGTTAGACGTGGTTTTCAACAAGAGATGGTAGCCAGGGTGTTCTATGAGTTAATAGACCTAATGAGAGGGATCATGTGGGAGATCTGGAAAGCCTAATGTAATAGTATCTTTAATAAAAAACATGAAGGCCCAAAGGTGGTGGTTACATGGGTATGGGCATTGATAATCACTGCAGCTTCTATGCCATAGCTAGAAAAAAGAAGAGGGCAAAATAGACCAGAGAAAGCATAAATCTAGCATTGTTTTTAGAAGTTAAGTGAGGCAGATACTCAGTGAAGCAATTTAGCTTCAGCTATCAATAGAAACTCTAACTTACAAAGATAATTAATATTGTAGGTGCTTTTATGCCACCAAAAAGACCCAATTTCAGCACTAAACATAGAAGATTAGGGTTTTTGGTGAGAGAGTATCCAAGAAATAGGGAATTTTGATCTAAACTTTGAGCAGCAGCTCCAAAGGTCCCACAGTGACAATGCCTATCATAGATTAGGTGAGGGAGAGATATTTTTGGTTTGCTTATTGGTTACCTATAGGGGGACTGGGATGGTAGTGAATATACCTAGAATATGCTTGGATATTCTAGGATATTCTACCATCTAACGGTTGGTATTCATTTAGATTAATCTGGTATTTATAATTTATAAACATGTTTATAATTTATAAACTTTCCTAAACCCTTTCTAGTATATTCTTTTTTATTCTATTATCTAATGGTTGATATGCAATAAGATTAATCTTGTGTTTATAAATTACTAACATGCTTATGATTATAAACTTTATTTGATCAATTAGATTAATAAGTAATAATAAAACTACCATTAAGCAAACCAAGCATTGCTACATGCAACGCGTAGCAATTTTTTTTCTAATTGATCCTGCCGCAAAAAAGGCAATCACTCCAAATGGGGATCCAAAACGACCCCCTTTTCTCTCTCTCTCTCTCTCTCTCTCCCTCTCCTTTTTAATCACACACCTTCTGTCTTGGTTGATCGAGAATAATGCTTGGCACAGGCTTGCCAATGGAAAGCGGCCTTTTCCACCATTTTTTTCTACGTACAATTCGCCAAAGGTTTCAATATGCTTGTCAAATATTTTGTCGTTAAAAGATATATTTTAGGGCTTGTGCACGTGGTTTAGGGTTAAAAAAATTTTCTGCAAGAGCTGACTTCTCGTGTATAAATCTCACTGTTGTGTGCTCTTAGATGTTCATTCGATCTTCCTTGGAAGAGTTTTCATTTGATTGACGATCATAGCATAGCTTTGTGTTTGTGTGACAATGGCAGGAAAAACGGTGCTCGTTCTTGTCGTGATCGCTGTTGTGGGATCGATGATCATGGCCAATGCAAGCTACTTTGATGCTTGGGCAGGGCCCGGGGGTAACAATCGGCTGGAGCGCTACCGTGCTTGTGGATGCACCAATGTTGGAGCCTCGCAGCACGGCGGCTACAGCGTTGTGTACCTGGGCCATGCTGCTGCGGCCTACAACACGGCAAACTGCCAAGGTGTGGCACAGAGATGGTTTAGGAGGCACTGCTCCGGCTTTAGATGGAACAGCATCTTCATCCAGTGCTCAAGCTCCATGGCTCCAAATCCCGGCTCCATGGCTCAAGCCAAATAAATGAGAAAATCTTCCATGTAATACTACATTGCAGCTTACCTTTGGATGGAAGAGTATTTACTTAAGATGCTTTAAGAAAGAAATTCCTGGGCATTGGGCACATATTTTAGGGCGGGTGAATGCGATGGCGCGCTCGCGAGGGACGAGCAGCGGTAAGCAAGATCCACGAGTGGAGCGGCAATGCGCTGCAAGCATACGATTCTCAGCGGCGCAGCAGCCAGGCGCCGGGCATGGCAGCCACTGTCGCGGCGCTGAAATATTGCGCCAGATCGAGAGACATTGGGAGCGGGAGGAGGATTCACTGCGATCTTCGGCAGAGCTCGGCGCTTTCTCGATCGATCTTGCTGGAGAACATTTTGATCGACATGTATTTCAAGTGCGGTGGGGTTGGGGAGGCTTGGCAGCTCTTCCAGGAAATGCCTCACAGAAATGTCGTCTCGTGGACTTCTATGATCCTTGGGAGTGTCGACAGCGGCGATCCGGAGGTGGCTTGGAAGCTCTTTTCGCAAATGGAGGAGCAGGGTGTTGTTGCTGATGCTCGGAGCTATGTCGCTGCGTTGAAGGCTTGCTCCAGCTTGGTCTCTAGACGAAAACCCCAGGATGAGAGCGGTGGTGATCTCTTGGAGAAAACGAAGGCACTACACGCTCAGATCTTAAAGGCTGGCCACGAGTCGGACGTCTTTGTGGGAAGCTCGCTGGTGGATCTCTATGCCAAGCTGGGGAACTTGGTGGAAGCTCGTCAAGTCTTTAGCAGGATGGAGAGCCGCGACGTTGTTTCGTGGAATTCTATCATCTCCGGCCATGCACGGTTTGGGGAGGGGGAGCTAGCTCTGGAATTCTTCGAGAAAATGCAAGAGCAGGGATTCAAGCCAAGTGCTCGGACCTACGTAGCTGCTGTTCTTGCCTGCTCGAGCTTGGCAGTCCGGGAGAAGGGAACTCTAGTTGACGGCACAGTTGTCAAAGTGGTTTCTCTGAGGAAAGGTTGTGCGTTACACTCTCAGCTTGGCAGAGATGGGCTTCTGTCGCAGCTTATAGTCGCGAACTCTCTTATTGATTTCTACGTGAAGTGTGGGAGTATGGAGCTTGCACGGGAGGTCTTTGACAAGATGGCAGAGACCAGTGTAGTTTCGTGGACGTCTATGATCACGGGCTATACTCACTGTGACCAAGGCGAGATCAGTCTCCAGTTTTTTGAGAGGATGCAAGAGAAAGGCTTGGTCCCGGACGCTCGGACTTTCGTCGCTGCATTAAAGGCCTGCAGTAGATGCGCCGACGGCGCCAAAGAGAAGATCGTTTTGCTGGACAGAAGTCGGAAAATCTACTCTCAGCTCAAACAGGCTGGACACGAGACGGACTTGTTCGTTGCAAGCACTCTGGTGGATCTGTTCGCGAAGCTGGGCAGCATGGTGGACGCACAGCAGGTTTTCGACGCGGTGAACCGTCCTGATGTTGTGCTCTGGAACGCTATAATCTCTGCTGCAACTCAGTGCGGAAAGCACGAGCTAAGTCTGGAGCTTTTTCACTGCATGCACGACGGGAGCGTGGAACCAAACGCTCGGACTTACGTCGCAGTTCTCGGTGCTTGCACTGGATTGGTAACAAGATCAGAAGTGAAACCTGAGGACCAGCAGCAGATGGCGACAATGCTGTGCTTGACAAAAGCCATGACCATTCATCAGCAACTTAGAAAAACTGGATTCGAGACGGATAGTTTCGTGGCGAGCTCTCTGGTAGACTTGTACTCGAAGTGCGGCAGCATGCCCGAGGCACGAGACGTCTTCGACAGAATGGCCAGCAAAGACGTGGTCTTATGGAACTCGATGATCAGGGGCTACTCACAGGATGGTCATGGCGATCTGGCACTAAAGATGTTCGCAGAAATGCTCGGGGATGGATTGGAACCAAATGCTAGAACTTACGTTGCGGCTTTGAACGCTTGCTCGAGCCTGGCCAAGCGAGAGCTCGGGAAACAGGCCGACGAGGAGTTTCTTCTACTCAAGGGAAGATCCATCCATTCCTTGCTTGCAAGAAGCGGACAAGGAGAAACAGATGTGTTCGTCGGAAGCGCATTGGTAGACATGTACTCCAAATGTGGGAGCATGGACCAAGCACAATCAGTTTTCGACAGGATGACGGAACACAACGTCGTGTCGTGGACAGCACTTATATTCGGGCATGCTTTGAACCAACGAGGAGAGGTTGCTCTGGATTATTTCCGACGCATGCAAGACGAAGGACTAGAGCCGAATGCTCGGGCTTACATCGCTGCACTCAAAGCTTGCTCCAGCCTTGCGATTCCAATGGTGGAAGTTGACGAAGAAATTACGTCACGGAAGGTTGCTGGCCTCCACTCTGAGATCATCCTCAGCGGGTACGAGTCAGAGATGTTCGTGGCCAGCAGCCTCGTCGATGCTTATGCCAAGCTGGGGAACTTGCGAGAAGCCGAGCAAGTCTTTTGGAAAATGCCTCAACGTAGCGTTTTGGCGTGGAACTCCATCATCAGAGGCTACGTCCAGTACGGCAAGAGCGAGCGAGCTTTGCAGCTTTTCGTCCAAATGCAAGATCAAGGATCCAGGCCAGACGCTGCCACATTTGTCGAAGCATTCAAGGCTTGTGGAAACTTGGGAGTTTTGGAAGCAGGACGAGAGATTCATCATCAGACTCGAGCAGCGGGATTGGAGTTATGTCCAGGCGTCGCGGCTTCTCTGGTCTGGTTTTACGGCCGGTGTGGAAGCATGGTCGAGGCTCAACAGGTTTTCGATTCGGCTAAGCAGGACTTGGTTGCTTGGAGCTCCCTCATCGCAGGCTACAGCAACCAAGGTGACGGGAAAAAGGTGTTGGATCTTTTCGAGAGAATGCAGAACGATCAACAGGTGGCACCGGACAGAGTGATTTTTCAACATGTTCTCTCAGCGCTGAGCCATGGTGGACAAGTTAACGAGGCCAAGGAGTGCTTTCGAGTGATGTGCTCTGATCACGGTATAGTTCCGGATGCCGAGCACTACGCCTGCCTGGTCGATGTTCTTGGTCGTGCAAACCAGCTCGAGGAAGCTGTGGCTATGGCGGAGGAGATTGGCTTGGAGCCAAATGTGGTCTTTTGGAAGACCATCTTAAGTGGCTGCTCTAAATGGAGAAACGAAGAGGTTGCAAGGATTGCTGTTGAGAAGATAGCTGCATTGGATCATCGAGGAGCTGAGAATTATGTGTTGGTGGCCAACACTTTCGGAAGTTCCGAGTGAGAAAGATCTCCAGGTTTGTCTTCTTTTTCTTGTTTCACTTAAATGGCTAACATCGATGATCAATCCAACGGCTCAGGTGCAGCAAATACTGGCCTTACACGTATGACATTGTCGTGACTACATCGAGCTACGTAGACAAAGCAGACTTTGACACCTTTGCAGGCTTGTCATTTGTGACATGCCTCGAGAGAAGTCTGGATAATTGTGAGATTCTTTCAGAGGTATGCTGTAGTCAGCTCTCACAAATTTGGGATTGCGATGCAGCCACCAATCTTCATCGCGGCAGCTGCTTCCATTGGAAATTTTCTCCAAGGTTGGGATAATGGTGCCATCGCAGGTATAGCTCTTGTGCTGCTCTATATTGGAACTGAAAAATCATGTTTTTTTTTTCTTTCCTTTTAAAGGTTCTTTGCTATTCATAAAACCAGCCTTCGACTTGGAAGAAAGTCCGGGACTAGAAGGAACTGTGGCTGCTTCTTCTCTTATTGGTGCTTTCCTGAGTACACTCTGCTCCGGACCTGGTGCGGATTGGCTGGGTAGACGCTCAATCCTGCTCGTGTCGGCAGCTCTCTATATTCTCGGTTCTTGCGTGACGATATGGTCACCCAACGTTGCGGTGCTTGTTCTGGCAAGGCTGCTCGTTGGTGCTGGGAGTGGAATCTCGGTGACTATAACTCCAATCTACATAGCAGAGCTTTCTCCAGCGGAGATCCGAGGCCAGCTTTTGACGTATCCGCAGTTCACGGGTTCCGGAGGTCTTCTTCTTTCGTATATCTATTGCTTCTGCCTCTCGCTGATGGACACGCCGAATTGGAGGCTCATGCTGGGCCTTCTGCTCCTGCCCTCAGTGCTATTTCTACTTCTGGGAGTGTCCTATCTGCCAGAGTCTCCGAGATGGCTTGTTAGCAAGGGAAAGATGCTGAAAGCAAGGGGCATTCTACAGAAACTCAGGAACAAGAACGACGTTGCTCGTAAGTTTCTGTCTTGGTTTTTCTTTTCTTTGGAATTTTACGAGCTAAAGTTTGATGCAGCCGAGCTTGCACTTCTCGTCGAAGGACTCGGCGTTGGAGCAGATACTTCACTACAGGAATGGGTGCTGGAGCCAGCCAGCGAGACCACTTACTCGAGAAAGAGCTCGGTTCTGAGCGCTCCAGAATCAGGCATCTCATGGCTCGCTATAAGCAAGCCTGCCGAATCGCTCTCTAGGCACACAACTGCAGAACCCAGCAAACTCCAGTTGGTTGATCCGATGGTGACAATAATTGGAAGCCTCCAGTCCACACACGACATCTCGCAAGCATCAGACACACGCAGCGAAGGTGGTGATTTTGACGACGAGAAGCCTGAGGATGATCAGACGAGTTCCCGTTCCCTTGCAGAATTTGACGACGAGATCCTGAAAACACCATTCATCAGAAGGAAGTCTGTTGAAGACGAACTTGGACAGAGTGGAAGGTGCCTTTTACAGGAAACTCGAAGTTTCTACGGGAGTTATACCGGTGGCGAGTCTTTGGTTCCTAGCGTTGGAATCGGCGGTGGCTGGCAACTGGGGTGGCAGTGGCAAGAACAACAACAGGGAAGCACCAAAGACAATGTGGTCACCTTCAAAAGAGTTTTTTTGCTGCAAGATAGTCCCGAGAAATCGGCAAACTCGCTCCCGGGTGGTGGCGAAGCGATTCAGGCCGCGGCTCTTGTTGGCCAGCCAGCACAATCTTGTGGAAGTCTGCTCTCAAAGTCTGCCGTTGGTCCAGCTATGATCCATCCCATCGAAACAGCTCTACAAGGCCCTGCTTGGTCGGA